GAGAGAGAGAGAGAGAGAGAGAGAGAGAGAGAGAGAGGAGCGATACAAGATTGTTGTGCGGTCCAAGACAGGAGGTGGCGGCCATAACCGCCGAAGCTCGGACACAGGGTTACCAAGGAGAAAGAAGATGAAGTAGAGGAGAAGGGAGAGACGAAGAAGGGAAAAGAAAGACATGGCCGGGGTGAAGGAAGAAGAAAGTGAGAAAGAAGGAAGGAGGGAGAACGCGAAGTGAAGGTTGAAGGGAGAAAGGTGTCGGCAGCCATAGCCTAGACGTTGACCGAGGCGTTGACCGGAGAGTTGACCGGAGTCGACCGACGTGTTGATTGAGGCGTTGAGTGGAGAGTTGACCGGCGTGGACTGAGGCGTTGACCAGGGTGTTGACTGAGGAGTTGACCAGCAATAGGGTCCTATACGGATCCTGTGGTCCTTAAACATTCAGTCAGTCTAGTGGGTAGGTCTAAGTGGTGAGGAGTGGGACAATCATTGTCGTGCACCTTACACCATGGATGACTACCCTATGTATGGTCTGCTCGTGGGGTTCTCCCTCTGGGGGACCCTCTGGCGTCTCCTCTTTCCGTTAGGTTTCTGGAACACCTTCACGTGTAGGGTGGAGACCAGGGGTGGTGCTAGTACCACTCCCTACACTAAGGAGCAGGAGGAGGAGGAGGAGGTGCGAGGATCTTGGCCGAGCAGAAGGCCAAGAAGGAGAAGAAGGAGGTCATAAAGCGGGCCAAAAAGTTGGCCTTATTGCAGGAGCAGGCCGCAAAAAGGAAGAAGTTGGAGGAAGAGTTGGAAAGGGTGACAAAGGAGGCGGAAGAAAAGTTAAAAGCAGTGGAGGAAGAAGAAGAAGAAGAAGAGAAAAAGGCGGAAGAAGAAGTGCCCTTAATCAGAAGAAGTATCAGGGGGCGGTCGAGTGGCACAAAGAAGGAAGATCCCTGGCTAGAGAAGAAGGTTTCTGAATGGGTTGCCAATCTGTCCCTGGGAGAAGCGGAGGAGGCGATGTTATATGTCCTCAGGGAAGAACAAGAGGCGATCATTAAGGAGTTGGAAGCCGAAGAAGACCCCCTTAAATGTCAGACGATCGAAAAAGAGAAGAAACTAGCGTTTGACCAGGGAAAAGAAGAAGAGAATGGAGGAGGCGAGTAAGATGGCCAAGGAGTTAGAGGCGGTGAAGGAGCAAAGAGCACAAATGGAGGCGCATGCCGATGTTGCGGCGTAACATAGAACTCTTGGCAAGGGCTAAGGAGGATCAGTATCAATTTGCGAGGAGTCAGGATGTCACTTTGCGGTCCATCAGATTGGGGTTTAGAGAGTTCGCACACGAAATGATGATGCACGTGGGTTCAAAGGTGAAGGCAAGGTTAGAGAATATGGAGTGATTCTGTACCGGCGCTATAGAAGGCGCAAAACTTGCTGCTCCAAGGGAGGAGGAAGTTCGTCCCCGTAGAGAGCCTTTTAAGGTGAAGTTTCCTAATTCTTACAGTGGGAAGAAGGACGAGAACTCCGATAACTGGGAGGCGAACGTGAACTCTTACGTTCACCTCCAGAAGATAGCCCCTGAGGAACATGTCCTCATTGCCTTCCACGCCCTTAAAGACAAAGCAGCTAGCTTCGCTAGGTCGCTTAGCCGTGCTGGTAAGTGTGAGAACGATATGGTTGCCTATTCCCTCATCACATCCCTGAGTGACTTCCTTAAGTTACTGCGCGAGAGGTTTGCGTATGTCATGCGAAGTGTTAGAACTTCTGACAAACTGCAGACCATCCATTCCCGCCAATGGAGGAGTGCTAGAGCACTTAAGGGCGTTATGGATGAACTGGTCGCCATCCCTAACCATGGGGTAATTGAAACCCAATTGGTCAAACCTGTTTTATCGTGCCATGCCCTAACCTTTGCACGAACACTTCTTTGAGAAGAGTAGGGAGTCTACCATGACCTACGATACTCTGAGTAGGGAAGTGGTAGCATTTGAAGCGCAATCCATGCCAATTTCCACTTTCTAGCATAAGGACCTTGATAAGGGTAAGAAGTGGAAAGGCCATACCATCTCAGGTCAGGTTAAGGGTAAG